TGTGAATTTCCATTGATGAAATTTCTGGAAATTCCGGTAAAATCGTCGCTTAAACAAAATTTTCAAGAAGTGTCCCAGAAATTTAAGCCGAAAAATTTTCCACAGTGCAAAATGACTGTATTCTGAAGTAATGGCGTGCCTCGATCCCCGCAACCAAATCATCATACTCTCATACAATCTCACCCGTGAAATGTGGCGTGAATAAACCCACCAGTCCTCATAAAATATTTGTCCACCATTCCAGGATTCCATCAACATACTGTTTATTGTACCGAGAATGAATATACAGTGGTGAGGTTGTGAGAGAATGAAAATTTAAGAAACCTCGAGGAAAAACTGCAACCGCATTCCCTCGAGTATTCCGATTACCCTCGAAACACGCTCACATGTACTTTACAGGAATAAAGAGAGTGCAGGGGGAATTCTACGTTGGATGTTGAATGCACATACACCCGGTGAGGAAAGGGGCTTTTCCGGATGAAACATAATAACCGTTTTGACTTGATGATAAAAATCTAGCCATCTCCGAAGGAGCAATCTCATAATTCACTCAATGCTAAAACATTGGGTCACCCAGGAAATCAGGATCAGGAGCTGATTCATTATACCTGAAGATAATGGTTTTTTCAAAGTCAATAATATCTTTATTCAACTAGCCATTGAAGCTTTTATTCAACATTAAAATCGTTTTTATCGATTTTTTATTCACATCGAAAAAATGTGAATTTTTTAAAATATGAGCAATTAAATTGTTGTTCGGACGATAAAGAGAGTAAATTCATTAATTTAGTAATAGAGGATTTCCTTTATTTAAAGACATTGTTAAATTGAATAAAAGACTGTCGTTAGATTCAATTGCGTCCTACGTCTCAGTACACTGTTAAAAATTATTCGGCAGTAACTACCGGTACACATTCGGAAATTCCAATCACATTATAGTTTCACTGAAATTTCAAGGAATTTCACAATTAAAAATTCTAGATTTTATGGAAAAATAAATGAAAACTCCGAATTCCAATTCAATTATTCTACGAAAATTGATAGAAATCTGGAAAATTTCGTAAATATTCATGTCAAATACACGGAGAGAATATAAAATTGAAAAATAAAATTAGACATTTAAATGGAGGGTTTGATTTATCTTAATCTAATTCCTACTCATGCCAAATTAAATTTTCCTTCTATTCTCCCATTTTCAACTACACAGACTCGCAATATTTACTATGTTCAACAGTAAATTTAGAGTGTGATGGCTATGATCCTCGATTAAGATGTCCGCCAGTAAAAAATAATTCTATATTTTTTCCATGTATATTCTTGTGGGGATGTAGTAGGAGAATGAAAATTGAAGGAACTTGGCGAAAAAACAGCATCACCATTCCCTCAAGTATTCCGATTGCCCTCAAAAAATTCTCACATGTACATAACCGAAATAGAGCGAGGGCAGTTAGAAAGGGATTCTACCTTGGGTGTTGGATGCACATGCTCCTAGTGAGGAAAGGGGCTTTTCCGTATGAAACGGAATAACCGTTTTGAATTATACAGAGAGGTCCGTAGGCACATGTACGAGTGAAGCTTAAGACCAAAGTACCGACGTATCATAGGTTAGCATAAAGGAGGATCTGGACGAATGTTGAATGCCAAAATGCAACGTACGATGAGTGCAACATTACCTAGATCCACAGTATCCCAGTGCACACTCAGAAACTTCTATATGTGCTTGAATCATTCAGTGAATAAATGCGTGCATGTAAAAGCCTGGATGTCTGCCAGTCCTGGGGTAACTCCAGTTACCCACTGCATTAATAAAGTTTTATTGTTATTTACTGTGACAATGGAGCAGCGAGGGTGAGAGTGTTGCAAGCTTCGTCGGGTTATTAACGAGCATCCCCGTTATGTCCATGGGAAAGTGACGTACAGCCCAACTGAGAGATGAGCTCCACCGAGACATTCTATTAGGGTAGTTTACACCTCAGCGAAATGGTCATTTGTGTAATTTAAATTAATTCACTGGCCTCTCTCGTGATTATGCCCGGGTGTACTTTTATTTGACAGTCAAATATCATTCTTTGAAGTGATATTTTATTAATTAATATAGTTCCTCACTAGACAAATTTATTCATTTTTATAAAAATGGTTTATTAGCATTGAATAAACTTTATTCGAAACAGATAAATGGGGTAGTTGGAGTCACGCTGATGAAGCTTTTATTTACATTTCATTAATTGGAGAATTATGGAGAATTTATCTGTTTAAAATGGAATCATTGTTAACGCGTGATGTTATAATTTTTCGTTTGGATTAAATAAATCGTTTCTTTCATTTTGGTCTATAATAAAACATTTGCATTGAAATGAAGATATGAAATTGTTAATGTCCGACAAAATTATTGTCGAAATGACGAGAAAAATTTCAAATAACGAGATTTAAAAATTCAGTGATGTTAAATTTTAGAAATTTAATGGGGAGAACTCAAGTAAATTGGGAATTCTCATTTTCCTACTGTTAAAAAGTTGGAAATTTCAAGGAATTTCTAAATTGAACATACAAAACTTTATAAAAACTATATTTTAGGTCAATTATTTCACGAAAATCGCTAGAAATCGTCAAAATTACAGCGAATATATTTTTGAATTTGCAATCAATTGGAAACTCACTGTAATTTGGTACTGAATAATCACATTTTGATTGAGAATGTAAGTAAGTTGGGGAATTCTCATCCTAGTGATGAATTTTTCGTAAAATCTGAAATTTTCTAATATTTTCCCCCTAAATCGCATTAAATGTCACTCTCCCGAAAAATTACCAGTCGTCCCTGAAATTTCAATTTTCTTCAAACAGTACAGTAAAAATAAAGCTTCCTTTTATGCGCCACCCACATTAAGTGAAAACTCACCATTTATAATTTTCCCCCAAAAACCAGAAATTAATAACTCCTAAAGTGATGTTAGAGAAACGTATGACAAAGCATTACAGTAGAAACGCGTCCCATTTACCCCCAATGCGACTGCATATACGAATGGTTACCCAGTATTACTGTCGTCACTTGCTGTTACCATTACTCCATTCCAGCGTAGGTACCAGCCTCCGACTGTTTCTCCTCCGCAGTTTTCACGACAGTACATACCGCAGGAGAGAGGAAAATTATGCTGAATGTTTCAGCATCCCCACTGCCTCAGACTGTTTTCAAAAGTTTTTCCATATTTTCCTCTTTATTCATTTATCTCTTTTTACCCACATGTTTGGCATGTTTTTCTCGTCACTTCATCGTTTCCCTTCCACCGCTACTCAATGCGCTATTTACTTTCATTTCTGTTTTACGGTTGTTTTCATATCTTACGTTCAAACAGATATTATGACGTTTATATTTATTCATCCGGCATACGTGCGAACTTCGGTACATACGAATTTACATGGGGGACTTCTCGCTGTGTGCTGTGTAACATCCAAGCACTTCCACGTCGCCATTTTTGCTCGTTTACCTTTCTTGGTTCGCTTTAATAAAAGTAAACAGCAAATCGAGGTGAAGAAATGGACAAAACTTTTGCACAGTTTTGCTGAGGTGAAAATACCGAAAGTTTCTCCTTTACTCGAGACGTTCATGAGGAATAAGCCTCCTCATAAAATAAACAAAACAGAATGAAACGAGAAAACTAAGTTGAGTGTTATTGCGTTCCTGGAACGATGAAGTGAGGGCACTCTAATCTTGGAATCTTTATGAAATCACTCACTGTCGTTTTCACTGCCAGCTATCACATTTCAATCATTTTTGCAGTTTTAGGAATCTTTCGAGGGTGAAATATGATTGGAGCAATTATTTTAGCTGATGAAGCAATTTATCGACAGCAGAAAACAGTAATTCATTGAAAAGTAAAATAGAATAATTGCATTAACAGCAACTGATGCTACGGATGAGTGAATTCTTGACCCGTAAGTTGAGGAATTCATAATCTTTTAATGTTGATTGCCTCCTCATGAAATAAAAAAAACATTTCTGAAACAATTAAATGAGGGCTCTAATCTTAGAATTCTTCTGAAATCACTCACTGTCATTTTATTTGTACTTTACTTGATGCTTATTGCGTGTTTAGTGGACGAACCCTGCGCCCACTGATCAATCCAATTTAGGGTCGGAGTGCCGCTACAATGTCATGGAATCATCTCCTTCACAAATCTTGATTAACTTCCGTCAGAGATTCGTCTTTCCTGTCGTGCTAGAAAGATTTCCCATGCGGGATATTACAGTGACTTGATGATAAACATCCAGCCAACATCTCCAAAGTAGCAATCTCATAATTCACTTAGTGCTTTGCCCGCGTGTGGGTGAAATTCTTAATAAGGGCGGATCAGGAAATGATTCATTATACCTGATTTGTTATTAGGATCAGAAGTGAAATGAGTAGAAAACCAGGAGTAAATGAAATGAAGAAGAATGGCTGGATTTAAATGGCCGGGGATAAACCTTTTATTTAACCTTAAACTTGAGATTGTTTCGGATTTTTGTTGACTTCAAATAAATATTTTTCAAAATATAAGCAAATACTTTCTATCAATCTATTGATTAATTAATATGGAATTATTCTTCATTTAAAAACATTGTGAAATGAAAAACAAATTTTTAAATAAAGAATTTCGTTAGATTCAAATGCGAAATTTTAATTCAAATTTCTTTGGCTGAAACTTCCTCTGCACTTTTTGAAAATTCCAATCACATTACAGTTCCCCTGAAATTTCAAGGAATTTCATAATTGAAAATTCAACATAATTTGATGCTGAATAATCTTATCCTCCAGCTGCTAAAAAATTCGGAATTTCATTGAATTTGCAGTGAAGTCTGAACTTCCGCGATATATTCTCCTTTAAATCGAATTCAATTTGACTCTCCCAAAAGATTCTAGTGAACTGTCCACGAAAGTTCCATATTTTCCCGCTGGTGTACCTCATCAAGTTCAAAATAACTTATCACTCCAATGATTAACAAAAACAATGTCTTTTTTCAGGATATCAGCACCATTCCAGATAGCAGCAGTAATCCTGATCCTAGCCGGGACATTTTGTGCCCTCATCGGGCACTGCTACGCCGATCACAAAACAGTAATCGCCTGCGGACTCTTTCTCCTCGGTGGTGAGTACCCCAACAATTCCAACCACTTAAACAACTAAAAACCGTAGAGAATAAATACCGAGAAAATTGTGGTACGTCCGAAAGAATGACACTCTTGAGGCTGCAAAGTGTTGAGAGGAAAACAAATGGTGGGCAGGGGGTTGTTGAAGAATAGAAAGTGAGCGGGCATTCTTGTTGACTGGCCAGTCACGTACAGCTAAAGCCCTCTCAGCCCATCTTTTTCTCACGCCGAGTGTCGCTGTGTATCAACCTCACCTTCCACTGTTGCCATCTAACAATACTATTCTTGATCTCCCTCCCACCGGGTTTTTTCCTCTCTTTTGGTCAGGAGAATCCAGGGAAGCACGTGCGTCCGTCAATGGGGAGAGCTGAGCCCAGAAGTTTCTTCATGTATACACAGTTATATATATAAATCCCTCTCGTCAGCGAAAGTTGGAGGACTTCCTGCGGGCATTGTGTGTTCGCTACACAGGATGATCGCGAACAATCTGTAATGGCCGAGTCATTGAAAACCCGGGGGTAACAATGGAGCCCCCTCGACCCTTGCAGACTACCCAAAATACTCGCCACATTTATTCGGAGGAGAAGAAAGTGGAAGTCAGTGGATTGAGGAGATCCGCTTGGTCGAGGGATTCCTCGAGACCGCGGAGAAAAGACTTGGTAGATGATTGCTTTTCTCTTCTCGAGCCTTTTTACTCTTTCGGAGCGGGTGTATAAGCTGATGAGGATGGGGATTTGGAGCGCAGTTGGGATCGGGCGAGCCTAAATGCTGTGGTAAATGAGGTTTCAGGGGAGAACGCCTCGGGATTTTTTATTGCAAATATCTTCATGAATGTGTATTTCACTGTTAGGCGAAGATAGAAATTTCACGGGCAGCTGAATAGTATTTTGCGGTGGAGGGACATTGAGGACTCAAATTGAGAATTTTAGAAGTCTCAACTTGAGACCTTCCGAACTCATTGAGAGTATCAAATTGAAACCTTCAAATTAAAAATTAAATTAAGACTTGAAAATTTTATTCCCGGACATGTGAGATCTTAAAAGAAGTTTTTTTTTGTGTAGACTATCCAGCAATTAAAATATAATTTCATGACCTGACATATCGTTCAATGTTGTTCCATTACAAAATAGTCATCATCACAATTAATTTATTTGCATTTTAATTATAAAGCCCTCACTTTCCGCAATCCAAAATAAAAAATCCCTTCTTCACATTGATTTTGATAAAATCTCGAAGGGCTGAAGTACAATCGTAAGAAGTTTCCGAGATGAACCGTTCAACTACTCCGAACCGGACGAATAATTAACCGGCCCCTGATTAGCGATCAAGGGGCATGAGTCAAGAGTCCGGGGGAATAGTAAAATGAATCGAGGATGAGAGTGAATAAAAGCTCCCGCAGCAGAGAGAGCCACGTTTCCTCGTTAATACGCTCCGGAGGATTCAATTAGATGAATTCGTCTTGGGAATCCAACACTGATTACCGCAAGCTCTTCTCCGGCGACATTTTCTGAAGAGAGAAAAAGAAAATGGGGAGACGGTGAAGCAGGAGGAGCGAGGAAACGTTTGGCCTCGTTATATCCGGTACAACAGTCGAGCGTTTTATTTTCACGAAGTTTCTGAAGTTTCTCCAGGACTCTAGTAAAATCACTCCTCCATTGATTAATTGTTGGGTAATTATAGTTCAGGGTTGTTAGGATGGTTTACAATTTTTTCATGAAAATGAAATAACAGGAGTAGTTAATCAAAGTTAACGAATTAAAAACTTTTATTACGGGGGTAATTCGTGATTTAATTAAGGATTCATTTCATTCTTATATTTTTCGCTTGTAGAAAGAGCCGATTTCCTCATGTTCATCATATTCTAATTTCCAACGCTCTCTGAAGACATCGCTATTGACCTTTCGTTTCACCTCAACCGTAGACGATTTCCCTCGAGATTTCTCAGGCATATAAAAAAAGCCTTTGGTGGAGGCGCACCAAAGACCAAGTCTGGAGATGCCGAGGCTTTCCCAAGACACGTAATTGCGTGTCCGAGAGTCAGAAGTGGCACAAAGAGTTTGGATAAGTCGTCTCTGTAGAGATGGAAAATGGGTGGAGGCCGAGGGTTGGGACAGTAGCTGGAGATGAGAGTGGTAGATACGAGGTATCCAAAGGAGTGGGATAAGACTTGCCGGGTCTACGGGATTAGTCTGATTTAGACTGGGTGGTTCTAGAAACTCCGGATTTTGTCTCTATGCTCGAGTATTCCTCGTGGATTTACAACGATCGCCGGAAGATTTCGACGGCTGCGTTCCTCTCTGTAGCGCTTTCTCGGGCATGGTTATCGGTGAACGGAAGCCAGCGACCGATAAGTTTGCTATTTTTCGAGTCTCGGGAGTTCAGCTGTGGAGGAGTAAATAAAAACATCACAAATTGCGAATGAAGGTGAATTATTTTGAAGTGGAGTTTTAGTTTGAATAAATGAAGTTTGAAGGTAAATTATGTGCACGGAGAAAAGAATTGCGGAAAAAAGACTGAAAATCATGTAACGTTTGTGTTGTTTGAGGCCATTGTTCGCTGCGCGAATTTTTATGGAGAGTCACGTAAAAATTACGTTTTGATGCACAAAATATCCAGAACTCGAGATGGATTTTGTTTGTAGTGGATTTTTCCGGGATTTTTATATAAAATTTCCCGAAACAGTATTTCGCCTCACTTTTACGTTTTGTCACGTGATTTTTTCCGATGTTTTTTCCTTCGTGTTCTGTTTTGTATTGAGAGAGACAGGTCATGAGCATAAAGGATCTTTGTTGAACATTTTTAGCTGAAATTTTTGGTAAACTTCCTGGAAATTTTTATCATATTATAATTTCAGTAAACTTTCAAGGAATTTCGGCATTGAATACTCAAAATTGTAATGAAAAATTGACGGAGACTGTAACTCCTTGCTCTTCTAATTTAGCAGCCAATAAGTTCTCTATTTTCCTCATCTCAAATTTCCAACAACAGCATTAGAAAAAAAATTGAAATATCGTGGAGAGGAGTAGCATTGCGTTGGATTCAGAGAGAAGAAAATAGTGAAATTTTAGATTTCACTAAGAATTCAATGAAACTCTAAATTTTTGAGCAGCAGAACGCCGAGAATTCCTCAAATTTCTGGAATCTCCGATGAAAGCATCAATATTCAGTATCAAATTACTTTAAATTGCCACTTTATTAAAAATTCAAAAATATATTCGCCTAAAATCTGATATCCACTCACTTTTACGGAAAATTGACCTGAAATGTACAGTTTCCATCAATGTTTCCAGAAAATTTTCAACTTAAAAATGAAACCTAAAGTTTGATATGATAAAAATTTTCAAGAAGTGTATTGGAAATGTCGCTCGAAAAAGTTCAACAGTGAAAGTTGAATCCCTTCCACTCCAGTTTTCTCTCAACTTCTTCCATCTCTTCCCGCCTAGTTTAAATAACTCAAGTCTGGATTGTGTTCAGACCCGTGTCAAGAGAGGCATGAGATTCTCCGGAATTTCTCCCCCAGAATGTGTGGGGTCCATACCCCCCTGAGTCGAGTGAACAAATGAGGGGAATTATCCACAGAGGCTGGCAAAGCAATAACATTTAACCAGAGTCCCACCAAAAGATACTGAGGAGCGACGGACGCGAGGGCTGCAGTAGCGGAAATGGGTCTGCGGGGATGAGAAGTTGGCCCGTGAGAGAACTGGAAATTATAAATTGTTGAAGCATAGTTGTAATTGTTTCGAGGAACCGAAACGAGAGAAATTGTGTGGTGTGAGCGCGTTTGGTTTCGCACAATGTTAGAATCAAACTTTTAATTTCACATGAGTGGCCCTCTTTAGCGTTGTCAAACTATCTGGTGAATTTTTAGGTGAGAGAGGACGGGAAAATGTTGGAGCGAGAGGCCACGTAACTGGTCGTCTGTCTACCAATTATACGCTCGATTTACCGAGTAATCGATAGCCTAACGAGACACTCAACTATCGACAGATTCTTCGTTCATAACGTGGGGGGAAAGTTGCTTGATAGGCGCTATTAATTGATGTCGCGATATATGAAATTCATTCATCAAGGAGAGGGTGACAAGGGTGGAGGCTCTATCATGTATTTTATTTGAATATGATATGACGCATTATGACGTGAAAGAATAGCCTCCGACAATCGACACACTGTTAGAAAATTACTCTTGAAATTTCAAATAAAAAAAAATTGAAATTTTTACCAACACTAAATTTACATGAAATTTATCTCTATTTTGTTACTGAAAAATCAGGTAACTTGAATATTCAATGAAAAGTATTTGAAATAATGAAAATTCAGGCTATTATTTTCCGGAATTCTCAATTAATTGAAAATTCAATTGAAGATGAGGTCTAAAATTTAAGCCATCCTTGAATTTTATTGAATTTTTAAAATGAATGGCAACTTTCATGAATGATATGGTCTTAAATCGAATTAAACCCCACAACATTGAGAATTCAATTGCAATCGTTACTAGAAATTAAATAAATTTCCAACAGTGCAAATACGAATGTTATCAAAGTTCCAAGCAATGTTGACGCTCCGTCAAATGTGTGAGCTGCAGCTGACGATATTGCTACAGCGATGGATGATTACAATGCATGAATGGTTGATCAATGTAGAAATGCGACATGATGGAGAATTAATGGGACGAAATTAAAGAAAACAGACGCCTCATCCAGTCACTCTGGGTTATTGTGTTCTGAATATGGCTCTTATTTTCCGTATAATAAAATCATGAAGGCAATGCATTTTTCACTCCTCGTGTAACATTCCAAGTTTAGCCGAGCCAAAGTGGTATGATAAATCGATTCCCTCTTTCTTGTTGCGGAATTCGATTACACGGATCGTTTACCAGTCTATTACGATATCCACTCGCCCACACAAACTATATTCAGCATCTCTGATGATTACGTCAATCCTTCAACCCGTGAGTTTCTTCACCGACATGACTGCTGTTGCAGATGTGCTGCAGATAAAC